TGCTATTGGCTATTCCAAACTGTACAAACATAATGTTTTTCCTCTTGCTCTAATTTAACATCTAAGTTAAGCATTCACGATTAGGAGTTTCTTCTAGGATTATACTATAAATAAGCTTAAATATGCTAAGGCATAATAAAGTATACTGGAATAAACTGAGAGAATATTATAGCTATGAATTTTGAGGTTTGCTAAAGTATATGCAATACCAGTCGCTAGTTGCTCAAATTTGTCGACTCTTTGTAAAGTATATAAATTGGTGTAAAATGGGTAACCTCTTTGACGTCATCGTCCAACTGAAGCTGTGGATCAATTTCATAGATGAAGTCAGACATTGATTTGGCAGTGAATACAATTCCTGAAGAGCTCGTGGCGGTCGATTGAGCTGTGGTGGACACCGATAGTGATTTGGCGACCGTCTCTGTACCACCTAGCCCACTTTGAGTAACGGTGGCGTCAGGCCTCTGGCATGAGGCCAAACTGTCCGGTGCAGGCTCAAGAATGAAACGTGTGGAAGCACAGATAGAGACAGGAGCGGGGACATCAGAGCTCGAAACTGGAGTCGGCGCAGCCGTGCTGGTAGTTAGTGTTGATGTAGTACTTATAGAAGGAGCAGGAGTAATAGGTGGACCAGAAGATTCGACGATTACCGGTGGACAGCATAACTCACTTGGTCCATTTTGGCTGGCCAAGGATGGCGCTTGATGTGAAGCTTTTGCCACCAAAGGCTGGGATTGTGGCGTAATGGCGAAGGTGGAGGAAGGCGCTTGAGAAGAGGTTGGTGGAGGCAAAGGTGAAATGGATGGTATGGTGATGGTGGAGATGGAAGAAATGGAGATTGGAGGGGTCGTAGTGGGAGTAGAGGTTGTAGAGAGCGAGAGGCCAGCGGAAGAGGATACTGGAAGGAGAGTTTGCCCAGACATTGGCAGAGGGCATGACTGTTGAGGCAATGCGCAAGCAGGAGGCCTAAGTCCTGTTATGCTGGAGCTAGAAAGTGGCATTGAGACTAAGGTTGCTGGAGTGGTACCTCCTATGATCGTCGAAGCCTGAAAAATAAATTAAGCAAAGTGTTATCTTTGTGAATCGATCTGTCACAATGATTATAGGAGACTATTTATGTCCACTAAGTCCATCAGAAGGCCGGATAGCAATACAATAATTGGTAGACTAGATAAGCTGTCACATAATTTAGGAAAAGAAAAAAATATACACGAAAAAATGTCTTTCCTTGACTATATGATAATATCAAGTTCATCTGATCCAGTCTGAGTGTCCTATCCAAATCCAGTTCTATCATTATGTAATGAGTCCATAGTTTCTAAAGTAA